TTAATGTTGGACTTATGGGCTTGGACAGCACTGGGTTGGGATGCTTTCTTAATGTACACTTACTCTTTATATAAAACTCATAAAAAATGTGCTGAAAAACTTAGTTATACTCAAGTATATATGGTAGGTTATGACAAAAAAAAAAAAAAGCCTGGGAGGAAACAGTTAAGAATGTACAGTTAACTATCATAGTAGAAGACTGGGGGGTAGAATTTAGCTTTTGAGTCACAAGATTCTAGTACCAAAACCTCAGTGGCCCACTGCCCTTAAAAACCCCAATATCTACACAATGTTTTTTCCAATTCTGAAACTCTTACAACTGGAGTTTACAAAAATGTCCCCGTCTGATACACTTGGGAGGAAAGTCACCTCTTTGAGATACAACGCATGTTCCTTTTCCCAAAAGAAATGAAAGTCACAGTGTTCTTCTGATTAAGGGTGCCGTGGGTCAGAACACTCGTGACAGATGTGGGGCTGGCCGTGGAACACGAGTGTGTACACATCCTGTAAGGCAAACAACTTAGGAACTAGACCGCTGTTTTTCGTGAGAGTTTCAAACCCCAGTGAGGAAGAGGGAAGTGTGACCTTTGGGAATTTATCATTTTCTTAAAATAACTTGCTTATCATAGAAATTAAAGCCCATTTTTATTTTTAATAGAAACTAGAGAACTAAAAATCCTGCTTTTAAAAATATGTATCATTAAGGAGGGAACTGTTGCAGAGTGGAGAACCTATCAAGCTCTTCCAAGACCACTGCATACTTTTCCTTCTCCAGAAACCCGGTAAAGGCCCATTACCTCTAGCTCACCTGAGGTGAGGCACAAAGCAGGCTTCTGAGCCACTCCAATGGAATAGGCTACTCCCCTAATTCCATAAGAATAGGGAAAATTCAACCACTTGAGAGCCCGATAGTGGCAGCAAAATGGGACCGGTGAGATATCCTGCTAGTATGTTCAAAGACTTATCAAAAGGCATTTTCTATCAGCCCTAGTTGAGGGCTTAGCAACAACAAAGAACCACTTATATTTCCCTACATGTGCACATGCATACACACACATGTGTGAATGAGAAGGTGGAATGAAACACCCAATGACCGGCCATTTTACGGTGGGACGCAGAAAACACAGACCACCTCTTCCAAGATGGTGGACTTTCTGGAATCTCCCCACCCCACATAAAAATCCCTACTTTTAAATGCCCAGGAGTACACATGCATGACCAGACCTTCAGGGTCCATGACCACGGGAAGGAAGGGGCTCTGTGGCAGATTCTGTAAAGCAGCACTTTATAACAGCATTCCCTATTATGACTATGCCAACGATGTAGGTCAGATTTCAAGAGCGAGCACCAATATCCATTTGGGGATAGAGTTCACGGGCAGAATTCTTTAGGAGATCAAAGAAGGTGGAGAACTATCAGGAAAGTGCCCCTGAAGGAACAACATCACTCTCCAACGACATGCCACAGGCTTGTCTAACAGAAATGACCTGAGAGATCCTCCCTAAGCTGGCTCTGTGAGTAAGCAGGACTGCTATTATCCCCATCACATGGATGAAGACATGGTGATTCTGGGGCTCAGTGACACACGTGCCCAGGGCCACAGATCATCAGAGAACTAATTACTAGCCCAAGCTTCTGACTTGCAGACCAGGGCAGTTTCCAAAACTCTCCTTATGCTGTAGGATGAGAAGCAGAAGAATGTAACGGCTGTGAGCCCAGGTTCGGGTCCCAGAGACCTGCATTGGTATCCCAGATGCACCAACTAGTAGCTGTTATGAGCTTGTTTAAGTTCCTCTCTGAACTCAACCTCTCTGCACCTCAGCCTCCTCCTCAGTGTGTAAAATTAATTACAGCAACTAAATGAGATGGCCGGCCAAAGCAACACACAAGACCAGGCACCTGCAAGCACTCACATTCATTAACACTTCAGCTACTTGTGCATGGCACAGTGCAAGGGCTACAGGAGTGATCAAGGGCAGGCCTGCTTGCATGGAGCTTAGAATTTAGTCAGACTGTACAACAAGTTAACAGATGGAGAAAATACTTACAAAACATGCTGAGTGCTGATAAAGAAACAGGTGAATGAATGGCTGGCGACAGCCCATTTTATAGCGGGATCACGGAAGGTCTCACAAGGAGAAATGTGTGGCCTAAGGGATCAGAAGGAGCTATCCACATAAAGACCACGGGCAGGACAAGCGTTCGAGGCACAAACAAATGAGATGTCCAACGGCCACCAACCTGAGAAAGATAAATGACTGCAGGTGATCCTTTTGGGAGATTTGGGGACAAGCTTTATTGTCTGCCACTGGCGAGAAGGGCCACATCTGTTTTACAAATAAATAACGAAGATGAGGCTTGAGAGAATCTATGTTTTGCCCAAGGTCACAGAGCTACTCAGAAAAGGTGCTAGGGCAGGCTAGGACCCGAGAATTATGCCTCCCCCCACCACAAGTTCCCTCTCTCTGCACCACTGATCTGGACGCAGAGAGATCCTATGAAGGACAGAGGGGAATCACTCCCCAGGGTTTCCAAGACTTTGACGAGCATGGAACGCTCCTGCGAACTTCACTATGCTCAGGAACAGTGTCAAAAGCATCCTGAAAACCTAAGCAAAGTATCCTGTCAGCGTTCAAGCATCTGTGTCAATGCTGGCCTGGACTCCTTCTCCTACTTATCTCACAACACAAGAGCAAAAATGGCTCAGCCCTGCCTGCCTCAAAGGCTCCAGAGGGGAACAGAGTTCCTCTTCTTGAAGCAAAGAACAAAAGAGGAAAGAGATGTTCCCAATGTCCCATACCCGGCTCCAAGAGTTAGGAGAGACCCACCACAGGAGAAGAGCAGCAATATGAAGGTTTGGCACAAAGGAACGGCTCAGAAATGAATGAGCTCTCCAGGGTGGGGCCAGGTATGCTCAAGGTCTTACAATGGTCAGGGCAGTCCGAAAACACAAGAATACTCAAAACTCACTGCTTTCATTTTGATGCTGGCTCCTAGCAACCCTAACCCTGTTGCACAAGGTAAAATTGCCCACCTAGGTTTCTGAGACGATAACCATTTAGAGGGGAGTGGCAGTAGAAAGCCCCACCTATCTCCTGAGGACCAGCTAGTGGTTTTGAACTGTGAGCAGCCCAATGAGTAACCACTATGCCACCAGGAATCCTTAAAATCGATTGCCCAACATAAATATAGCCCTCTTCACTCACGTTAGATACCTTTCCCCAAAAACATGCTACAACTTTTCTTGTATTCTCATTACTCAGTCTCACTCTCTAATCTCACCACTGTGGATGAAAAAAACAAGAAAAAGAAATTTTCGAATCCAACTATAAGCCTGAACTCGAACCTGGAACCTGGTAGTGAAACAGAGATAAAAATGTTTCTAGTAAGAGACAGACGGAAGAAAAGTTAGCTTAAAGAGAAGGATCTGCTCACATTTGTTTTATGACACCCCAAATTCCATCTGTGATGTTAGAGAACCTTCTTGATGCACTTCACAGTTTACCTTAAAACTAGGCCCTGATGGCAGTTCCACAAACTTAATCACAATCACCCCACAAACATGTCTGAGTCTCCCTGGACAAAATATTATAGAGAAAAAAAGGAGACTGATTTCAAGTTGCCTACAGCTGGCCACATGCCTACAATTGCACAATTGCAGCTATACCTGGCCCCCTTGGCACATGCCCCGCACCCCGCCCATCTCAGATAAAGTCTGGGGATTCCAACACCATCCCAGCGTTTCGAAAGCCCCCTTTTTCCCATTATTCCTAAATTAATCAGTGTGTTTCTCAAAAAAAAAAAAAAAATCCACAAACTGAAGTTTCTAAATTCATAAAGAAAAGAAGAATCGATACAGGTTATTTCCAGGAAATAAAGTCTATCCTATTTCACAACAAAAGTGGTCCAACTGACAATTTCCCAGAGGGGTCTCCTAAGGGGCTCGACCACCACCTTTCTCTGAACCCTGTCCAATTATCTCAATACTCCCAAAGGTGTCTGAACACACAACTTCTTCACTCTGACTTGCCAAGCAGCTAATTGTGGCCCCACACCTTTTTTTGGACAGTTTTCTAGAAGCCTAACCTGTCCTCTCAGGTTAGCAGCTGGCAGAGCTGTTTCCCTCCAGCAACCTGCCTGCCAACTGGAGCCTGGGAAATCCCCCTCCAGCCTTTTACTGCCCAGTCACCAGAAGTTCACAGGATGAATTAACTCATCCAAAATCTCTGAATCCACCTTCTCTACTGTCCTATGCTCCAAACCAGCCAAAAATAGCCCCACCTTGCTAGGCTCCCTGTGACAAAAAGATGCAGATTCACAGGAAGGGCAAGCACTTAGAATGGAGGGGGGAAAAAAAGATGGAGGGATGTGTGAGGCTCCAAGCATACTGAGACCAGGGCCCAGGTCCTGCAAAGGCTCCTGTGGCAGGCAGTCTCCTGGTTGGGTCCTTGGTACAGCAGGCCACACCTGTCTGTGCCAGCAGCTTGCTAGCCGCTCCATTTTCCACAATTCAAACACATCTCCAGCGGGCTGGTAACACTGGGTGGCCCCCTTTCCCCAGCAAGGGTGAAAGTCCTAATCCAAGAACCACTTGCCCCCAATTATATTTCTTCTCACACACTTGGTTTCGGTGGAGAGACACAGCTTGGTCAGCCCGGCTCCATCTCTGATGCCAGCCAGGGAGGCCCAATGCTGCGGTGAGCGGCAAGAAGCACCCATGCTGCCTTGCTAGAGGCCAGACAGGAGCACCCTGTCTGAGGTAGCTGGTACCAGAAAAAGGGGCTCGAGGAGAAGGCAGGTTTGACGCTGCCCATCCACGAGTGAACAAACACCCATAGATCGAAACCACTCGTCGCCGAGCACCTTGGTCCAGAGGGTGGGTAACCCATTCATCCCTTGGCTTCAGCCCGATCCGTGCACTCCACAGCCAAACCTTTACGCGCGCGAGCAGGTTGGGTGCCCCACCCCCCCTCCGAGGCCTCCACCGCCCGCGGACTTACCGCTGTGCGAGCTGAACCACCGGGGTGCGATGTGCAGAGGTAGAGCATCCGCCAGCGAGGCTCGGGAGCCCAGGTACAGCATCCCGTCTCTATGGTGACCGCCGCCTGTCTCCTGGTAACCATTGCCGTGGGCATAGGTGGAGTCGGACGCGGACCCTCCGCCGCCAGGCGCCCTCTCGGAGTCGCCGGTCCCCCGCGAGGCGGCGGTGTAGAGGCCAAAGGGCACCCCTCCGGCGGTGCTGGGGTCCATGCCCATGCCCGCCACGGAGCTGACGGAGCGGCTGCGCAGCCCCATGGCCCCGCCGCCCGCTCGGTAATGCCCGAAGTGGGGCGCCCCTCCCGGCGACGGCACGGCGCTGTCATCGGTGGAGACCCCCGGGAAGGGGCCCCGGGAGCGGGCGGCTGTGCTCTGCTTGCCCCCCATCCTAGCCCGGGCCCCGATGGGGCGGGAACCTGGAGGCCGAGACCCTCCCCCACTTCTCAGCGGCGAGGGGAGGGCTGGGCCAGCATAAACGGACGGGGAGTCAAAAAAGGAGACGGTGAGGGTGGGGGGGAAAGGGAGAAGAAAAAAGGGGGAGGACGACAAAAAAAAACACCAAAAACCTGCGGGGCGGAAGAGGCAGGCGGGCGGGGATCCCAAACTAAGAATTCAAAACCATCCAAGCCAAACGCATGCTTCCCCTCAAGGTCCCAGGAGTCGCAGTCCGACGCGGGCTCCGCGCCACAGGCCGCCCCCGGGCTCCCGAAAGCCGGGGGAGCCGCAGGGAAGGAGGGAGGGGGGGAGGCGCCGAGAGGCCGCCCGCCCGGAGGAGGCGGCGGTGGAGGCTGGGGGGCGTCGGGCGCCTTCCCCGCCTCAGGGCGCCGAGACCTCGGACGGCGCCTCGGAGCCCTCCAGGCCTCGGGCAGCCCGCAGCGCCGCACGGCCAGGCGGGGCTCTGGAAGTGGCGGTCGCGTCGCGTCGCGTCGCGCGCTCGCTCCAGCAGCCGCCGGCTCCGCCAGCCGCACCGCCCTGCTCCGTCCCAGGCTGCGCTCGCCGGCGCTCCGAGCCGCCGTGGAGACAATGGAGGGCGGCAGAGCGCAGGCGCGGCCCGCGCCCCCTCCCCCACCCCTTCCCACCCCCCGCCGGCTTAACCCCTTCGCCGCCCCGGCGGCGTCCTGGCAGCTGGCGACCGAGATCCCCCCCGCCCCCTCCACCGTCCACACTCAGGCCGGCCGGGAACCTGCGTGGCGGGAGCCAGGGGACAGCAGAAACCAAAGTGAGACGTCTTTTTCGAAGCCAGCGCGCTTTAAGTCCCAGAAAGTGGCTGATTGTTCCAGGGGTGTCCCGTGGGGGGGAGGGGCGGCGGTAGTTCAAGGGAGTGGGGAGGAATGCACATCCTCAACCCAATCACCTGGCTCCGAGGGTCGCCGGTCAAGCTCCCCTCCCGCCACAGTTTGCCCCGACAGCACCCTCTGGTGGACGTGCCGTCCACCCTTGGCTGGGCGTCCCCAGCCCCTTTCTCGGCTTTAACGACACTCTCAGGGGAGCAAGGGATTTGCATTTGGGGTTGGGGGAGTTTTGGGTGAATGAAGCACGGGGGCACTTGGGACTGCCAGGTGCTCAGGGGGCAGAAGGACCTAATCTGTGCTGAAGCAAACCGGCTCGTTCCTCAGATGTACAGTATAAAGTGAAGCTAGGAGTCGTGAAAAGAACTTAATCCAGAGGCAAGGCCCTTGTTTTGTGTGCCTTGTATTCTCACAGGCACCTGAGGGTACTTTGTCTTTGTTAACCAAGCCCTCCGTTTGCATCCCAGAAACACCTTTCAACCTCCCTTCCAAAGCTTCTCTCAGTTTTACATTCATTCATCAACTACTTTCTGAGTGTCCTGTGCTAAACTATGTGCTAAACTATAAGCCTCAACCCGGCCTGCTCTGACTTCTTTACTGTAAATGTCATCAGGTACTTCCAGACCCAGACGCAAAACAGCATACAAAAATGTATTCAAAGGAAACCAAATGTCATGGAACAGCCCAGTTAGCCAAGTCAGGTGCTTAGTGCTTCCCGTTGTACCTCCTAGTTCTATAGCATCTCAGGTCTTAAAAGCTTGCAGGCAGCCTACCCATGTGCAGCAACAGAAGGGGCGTTATGTGGCCCGCTAATCTCCCCCATGAAAAACAGTCTCCTTTGCGTGGAGACCAGACTGAGCATTTTGATAAAAGATTCCATAGAAGAATCCTTTGGTGGAAAAGTAAATTTGAAATGGACTTGGAGTCTTTGGTGACAAAAGAGTTCATCTCAAACAAACAAATAAACACACAAGAAGCCTGATCATAGAAGAGAGAAGGAGGGGAATATAGAACAGAAAATCACAGTCCTATGGACTGTAGACTTTCTGGAGTCATGGAGGGTGGATAAACCTGAAACTGTTGCCCTGAGGTCAACTGTAAACAATATAACAGAACTCTCTCCTGAAATTATCTGAAGCGGGGACAACAATTTAATTAGTAAAAAAGGTCTGCCTTGAGCAATACACTTTATAAAGAACTATCTATATGGGATCAACCTGGCCATAGCCACTGGAAAGATTAGATAGGAATGACTTCATGTTAATGAAGGTGAGGCGGGGATACGACTCTGAAAAGGATGGTAGGAAGGCAGGACTACAGAATGTCATCTGCGTCATTGAACTGTCGGGGTAGAAACTGCTGAATTGGTGTAGGTTTTGTTCGGTCGGCAGGACTGTTCTGTCACAAATTTGGATTGTCCCACTGTGACCAGCCTGGAAAGAAGCAGAGGGAGCCCAAAGCTGTGCATAAGGAAGCTGATGGTGCTTTATGAGACACGAAAGGGGGAAGACCCAAATGTGCCACCCTAA